TTCTCATTTTCCTAGCAAAATATATCAAAACAAGGGGTGCCTCAGTCTTTTCCACAGTACTTTGAACCAAACCACAACAGTAAGACCACTTAAGGTAAATTTTATTCAAGATGCTTTGTTCCAGTTAATTATCAGAAACTAACCTTCCACCAGCATAGCCCGAGTCTTGTGAAAAAGGGGTCCCAGATCTTGAGCTGTAAGGTGTTCCTCCCCCACCCTGAGATGACGCAGAGGAGCTTGGGGTGTAAGGACCTGCCATGGAGGAGGGGGGCGTGTCTAGACGCTGATCATAGCCAGTCTCTACAGAAGGTGTGACATTTCCCGATGTGAGGGCCTGGACCCCTGCTGCCAAAACTGCAAGCTCACTGGAAAGCCTTCGCCTCATTTCTGATGGCTATGGAAACAGAGTAAAAATGTATAAAATTAAATGCATCTTCATTCAGATTACCACTCAAGCATGACATCACTAAATAAGTGAAGAGATGTTTGTGCAGTCACAATACCGTGTCAGGCTGTGGCTGTGTTGTAGCCTGAGGCTGAAGCCTGTCTGTCAAAGCCTTGCCTCCTAGAGGCACTGTCTGAGGAGTGTAGGACCCATTTACTATCAGGTCATAATATTTCTGCCTCTGTTGACCTGTATAAAAATAAAAGTCACAGCTATTTAAATGCAAGCTCTCAAACCGAATCAACAGACAAACAATTTATATCTAACATGGTTTGTATGAAAAACTTTAGATTTAACTGCAGCTTAAGTTTTTTCTGTGTCACTTGACTGTTTTGTTAGCAAGTCTTCTTCCTTTGAGGAACTGCTCAAAAGATTACATGAAAAAGTGACTCTCTTTGTCTTTTGATTTAAAATTGCAAACTGCATATAAAGAAACTGCCCAAAGCATCACTGTAACAATGTGCATCAGATGGCAAAGAGGAGACATTTTAACTTACCTTTTATATCCAACTGAGCATGAATGATGTTCCCCATGACAGAGGTGTTGTGCAGGTGCTTGACTGTGTCCTTGGCTCCTCTGGTGCTGGTGAACAATACTCGGGCCAGGCCTAGGTGCTTTCTAGTCTTGGGGTGAAACAGAATCTCCATCTCCTCCACCTCACCAAACTTGGCACACATTTCTGCCAAGAAGGGTTCCTTGATGTTGTCATTGAGTCGAGCAAAGGTCACCTCCTTGAGAGGTATGGGACCCACATAGAACTCATCAAGCTGCGGTAACAAATTAAAGGATCAGTGAAAAGATAATCAAACAGAAAGCTCCCGAGACGTGTCAAATGAACACTAATCCAAGTATTCTCACCTTAAACTTTGGCACTGGCAGAGACAGCTCTGTATATCTGGACCACAGTCTCCGGGGTCTTGGATCTCGCAGTTCTCCCACAGGTGGAAATCCAGAGTCCTGGGGACGAAAAATAAACAGCATGCAACATACAAACAATAGTCGAAATGATTGAAGATAAAATAAATAAATGTGAACATTAACTCACTGGCACACTGAAATGCACTCCATCATATCTGTAGATCTTCTGGGTGACACGCCTAATGGCTGGGTCCTGGACGAGTTTGTAGCTTTTCCACTGCAAACTGACAGCTTTTTGTGAATCTGCCCCACCGTCTGGATCCATCCTACAACTGTCACACAAAGAAAGACCACCATTACACACACAGTGCAGAAGCTACTGATAGAAGAAGAAAAAAAAAAGACCGGGCATCAGCACAGGGAAGTAAGCTTTAAAAAATCCCTGCGGAATTAAGCCAAACAGATACAAAGTGCTGCAGTAATTACAGACTATGTATGCACTCTGTATGGCAACCTGTCAGGCTAGCGAGCTGCGTCACATCAGCTGCTAACGATCAACTTTTCGGACATCTATATTTCAGTTGTAGTTCTTCTTGCATGGGTAAAATAAGTAAATTAAACAGACTAGCAAATGGGACGCTCTTAGCCGCGGATATGATGCCGTGTGCTGTCAAAACAATGATCACCGTTACGTCACTGACCATATACTTCAGCTAGCCACCTGCTGTTAGCAACGGCTAACCTAGAATATGCAAACTGCTGCTTTCCGGCATCATGACAGATTTCACGTTCCACGCATTGAATCGGGCTTCAGAAACACTCAGTAAAACGCCCACCTATCCGTTTCTCTCACCTCAGATCAGAGCGATGTGATTGTAAATTAGTTATGCCTTCTCGTTTTAGCTAGGGCAAGTCAACGGTACGGTAAGCTAATGCTAGTTAGCAAGAACATCACGTTAGGAGTTAAAACTGTGCTCTTCATGTCCCTCAACCCACAGCGATAAAATGTTACCAGTTACGTGCCTCACTACGAGGATCTGTAGACTCGTTTCACCTTCAGTTTAATTAAATTCAGACCCCTCTCCTCTTCGACACCTACTGCCCGCTCATCCGAAAGTAGCAACCCGCCGCTACAGTGTAGGCAGCTCCAGCCAGGCCCGGGAGACGAACAAGAAAAACACTGAGTTCCTAACAGAAACGGCTCACCTCCGGCCCGGCTTTAACGCAAAACCGACGAGCTAAAACGATACCGCTACCATTCCGACAGTTAGTCAAAACAGCAACGCGCCTGTTCGAGCAACGGAGCCATTGTTTTCGCTTCGAAATCCTGACATTGTTGAGAGAGCGGCCATCGCGTAACTAACCTGAAAGCCTCGCCTGTTCTCCATCAGTGTGTTCAAAATGCAACCTGCGATTACTCACCGGCACTTTCGTCAAAGCTGAAACTAAATACAGGGAACTTTCACATTGACACATAACACTGTACACACAACAGCATTAAAAATTGTTAATGTAAATAAAGTCATTTGTTTTATTCAGCGTGAAATTTACGCATTTTTTAAAATTGGTTTGAATCTGCTCCTACATTCGCAAGTATAAAAAATGGCCAAAGGTCCCTCTAGCGGCTGATAAGCAAACCTACCTCAAAATTACTGTCAAATATAATTTATTGTATATTAAAATCTTTCAAGGCTCATATTATACTTGTAGTGAACACTTTAAAGGAATTTATTTCAACATATTAAGTGTATTTATACCGCTACATCTTGAAGAATTTAATTACTTGCCACATACACAATTACACATCTATAATGTGTAGTGAAGTGCTTAAGTGCCAGACTGGCTGTACAAAAGAAAGAGAAATAGAGAAGTATTCCAATCAGCACCCCCCCCCCCCCCCCCCATTGTGTTAGATAGCTGGTTAACAGCTATCAGTTGAGTAGCTGAGTATCAGATAGGCAGTGTGTGAGTTGCAGTCTCATTTAGCAGTCTCGCGGCTTGAAGGTAAAAGTTCTGCCTCATTCTCTTGACTGAAGTAACTACACTCCTAAGGGCCACCATCAACGTCGTGATGCTCCGACTAAGGATGCTTTCTATAGTGTAAGAATAGAAGTCCCTGAGCATCCCAGCCAGGAGTTTGAAATCCTTTTTCGTTATCTAAAGTAGGAGAAGCAATTATGGGATTTCCTTATCATGAAGTCATCTCTGATAGAACAGCAGCCAGTGGGCACAACTTGGAATATTGATGCTGCAACTTGCTGTAAATAAGCTACAAACCATGAAATTCAAATAATTCGGACTGACCTTAGGCACAGAAGATCTAAACAATCTCCAAAGCTTCAAGGTGGGCACTCAAGATTTTTGTCCCTAGTTCAATAATTAACCAGATGTAAAATATGCTTATAAGCTCCGTCTGGAGTACCTGCCTTGTAATGTTGAATAGTGTGACAATAAAGTTGGTCTTAAGACATTTTGGATAGGAAATTCCATAATTTATTAAATAAGTTGATTAACACCAAGTTGGTTACACTGCAGGGATATCAATCTGTCCGGTTATGAAGAATAAACTGTTGCAAATCCATGTTGTTGGGGACAGCATAACATTTGCCATGGTGTTCCTAGACTCCGTCACTTGAACACACCAAGGTGCTTAGCATGAGCTTGTTCTCATCTGTGTAAAGAACAGGGTGCCAGTGGTGAATCTATCAAGCTGCATGGGGCACAACTGTGATTGCAGATCTTACTAAAAGATACCAGGATCTTTTAGTAGGACCTCATGTCACCACCATGGAGCCAGGTTCAGAGTCCAGTCACAAACATGAACCAGGCTGGAGGGCATTTTCCAGAGTTCTGGTAGGGATCCCTCTGATTCTCTATGGAAAAAGGAGCAGATATTATTCCTGCTGCTGGGCTGATGCCCCTCTAACCTCTTGAGACTGCTACAAGAACCAGAACCTTTGTGTGACTGTGCCAGGTTGGCAGAGTCACACAAAGGTTGTTGACTCTCCATTGCATCAGTTGTCACTTTTAATGTCCCAAAGCAGGTGAAATGGATTCATATTGGTTCTAGCTTTCTAACTGGACAGATCAATTGCCTGAAGTTTAACCGACTTTGTGTTAGAGTGTGACGAGTATCTATTATCTCTCTGATTTATTCGAGATGAAAAAGAACTCACCTGTCAAAGTATGTAAGAACTGGTTTGTGCTGCTGAATTGTATATTTAGTAAATTGATGTAGTTCTAGTTCACCTTTAAAAGAAGGGCAGCAATAAACTGCCAATAATACTAACAAGTGCCTTCTGTTACTTTAACCAGAGAGGGGAGTTCATTAAACAAACATCTGGGACTGTCACACTTTAAAAAAAAAAAAAAAGAAAAAAAAAGGAACTAACATTTTACCAAAGACAAGGATTAAATTATTTTAGCTGACAAAATGACAAGTCCATTTCTGCACTTCATTTCTCCAGATTCAGTAAACTATTAAACACCTTCATGATTACAAATGACTTCCAGCCTCACAGGACTATAATATTTCAGCCTGTTAAGACACGACCATGCCGATGTTACCAAATGTAGCTCAGACTGCTGACAGAGTCTACTAGTTAAATTTAGCACTAAGCCCCACCCGTATTCTGGTGCCCATTTTATTCCTTCACTCTTTCAACAACTACCACCCAAAGAAGTATATCAATTTAATATTGAGAGACTATTTTATTACCCACACACACCACACTAACACCCATAACCAGCTGCCTTGTCATTTACCATTAAAAACAAAGTTTTCCAACAGACTCCAGTACATTTTATTTTTTGCTCAGATAAAGATTAGAAACAACTTGCAAGAAATCAACCACATTGCATATATAAATTAAAACGTCCTTGACAGTATCATTTATTATATTAATGCTAATATATATCCAATGAAACCACAGCAATCCTTTTATTCCTTTAAAAAAATGTGTCTGAGTATTACCAAATAGCGTATTCCTTCCCTGCAAACTAAGGTTAAAAAGCTCACTGAGCTACGCAACGTTCATGAAATTCAGGGAAAAATCTTGACGTGAGAAGTGGTGACAGATTCAATGGTGAAAAAAAGTCCTCATATTCACTCACAGTCTTTAAGATTTAGCCACTGACATGGAGCAGGTGGTGATACAAACAGCTAAGCTCGACACATCCAGAGGTGCAGAACGTCTGTTTGAAGCTTTGAGCGACTTGTAAGGAAGAGCTGTGGACGTGGTGAGACAAGCTGGAAGAAAACGGTCTGAGCTGAGCACTGCTTTTATGTGTGCTTGTATCCTCATCCCTGTGGTGATGTTTCACATGGCTTTGACTTTGATCTGCTTCATCTTCATCTGCTTCTTCTCAATCTTCTTCTGCTCACGCCGCTGGGCAGCTTCCTGAAAATGTCACATGAGAGAGTTGAATTTTGCAGATTTTGCACACTTGCTGTCTTGCTAAGGTATAAGTGTCTTAATTAAAAGTGTTGTGACACCCCAACACCATCAATGTACATTATAACTGATAATATTAGTCACTTGAACTGAAGATATCTAAAAGATATTCAAAGCCGATTGCATTCAGAGATGGACTTGCAGCAGTCAATTGCTGATCATGAAACTCCCTCAACCTCTGGCCACTTTTGATTGCAGATGTTGCCTGATGGGAGGCAACCCATCTCAAACTCAGGCTAACTGCAATCACTCAGATTGCTGTTATTTCCAAACTTTCACCAATCTGATTTACAATAACAGACAGTTAGTTTGAAAAGATGTTGCAACCAGTCATTAGGTCATGCTTTTTAATCACACTTGCATACCAGAACACCAAATGGACAAGGTCCAGACTTCTTGTCACACTGCTGCTTATTGTCTTTGCTCCCAAGCGCAAAATCTATTAGTTTTCCCTTGTACAGAGCTTTTTCCGTCTGTGCCACCAAGGCTTTGGAGCAGATTACCACTCCAGCTCTGTTTATCTGACTCTGTGGCGTCTTCTTCTCACGGTCTTCATTTATGTTTTTTAAGTTCTTTTTTAAAAACATGGTTCTCTGTTGATATTGTCTTTTAATTGTGTCCGGCACTTTGTGTGTTTTTTGTCTATGAAAAGTGGTATATAAATATTTTAGTTACTCACTTACTAGTGAATTTTACCATGTTTGGTCAGTTTTTCTTTTTCTTTTAGCTAAAGCCATCAGCACATTTACTGCATACCATATCATATCATTTTGAGTGTATTCAGTCTGAAAAGTTCTTGTTGCAGACCTCCAGACGACGTTGTCTCTCAGGGTCCTCTTCATTCATGATCCTCTCCTTCTCTGCTCTCTTCTTCTCCTCCCGCCGTGTTTGGGCTGCCTCCTGACGCTGAGCGTGAGTCTGCTTCAGGAAGTTCTCTTCCACACGGGCACGGTTTTTATCAGCTTTCTGTTTGCCCTAAACATACAAGAATGATTAAAAAAGAAGCTAAAACATTAAAACACTGCAATAGTGGGTGCACTGTACACACCTCTCTGTTCAGACGAAGCTTCTTGACTTTATCGATGCTGTAGATCACCATGTTCATGAGAGGAAGCAGAGCGTCCATGTCTTTGGGAGAGGTGTTGCCCATGCCAGGCACTGAATATAAAAACATAAAATATATTAAAATAAACACCAGTGAAATCAAATTAGGTTTAATGACGATGTCCAAGACAGTAGCAGAAATGACATGCTCACCATTAAATGTAAACAGCAGTGTCTTCTTGGTCTCAGGCAGCTTTAAGGGCTGACCCTCCCTGAAGCATCAAATAAATCCATCAGTAGACAGAAATTCTTAACTATAATCTGAAAAAGTAAATGATTACTTACTCTTGCATAATTTTTGGACCAGAAAATTGGTCCGAGAAATGGATGGACTCAATCTTATCAGCATGATTGGTGATATAATGTACCATCTTAAATGACAAAAAAAAAAGGGAGGCAACACAGAGTTTTAATGACAGCAACAGATTTAAAGAGAGTATTCTCAGAATATTCAGTCTCTTTTATGACACTGCTTTGATATGAGAGCCAGACTTCACCTTGTTGTCCATCACACCATCCGTAACCTCGCCCATCTCACTAAGAATAGCCAGGGAGTCTGGGAGCCCATACTTGGCTCCAGACTTTGGCTTATCACCACAGAACTCACTCTGAGATAAAAGAGATAAAAAATAAAATAAAAAAAATAAAGGAATACATAAAAACAAGGCTTTTATTTTAATATTAATGCATAGCTGGTAAAAATTCAAAAAATCCAGACTACACAAGTCAGTATTTGCATAAAAACAGTGAATTTCAAAATTGCATGTCCAATTTGAGGAGGAAACTCACCAAGTCCTGCATCTCCTTCTGAAGCCGGGCCGTGGCCTTCTTGGTGCCCACAGCAAATACAAAAGTATCCATGTCCTCATCATTAAGAGTCACTTTGACTTGCTGCAAAAAAACCCCAAAACAAAATAACAACAAAAACCAACCCACAGATGCGGCTGGTTAGAAAGTGTATCTGCAGCAATATACAGCGGAGAGAAAAGAAAAAGTGAAAACGTACCACTTGGTCACAGGCGGGCCTCATCATCCTGGCCAAAACGTTAAGCAGGTCCTGCCTCTTAAGAAACTTTAAAAGACAATAAAAACATGAGATACATGTAGCATACATATATCTAATACTCATACTTGTATATCAGAACACATTGCCCACACCTTGAGTTGGATCAGCATGCCTTCACAGCACACACGTCCAGAGCACCAGAGGTTGTAGATGTGCTCATTTTCCTGGTTCAGCTTCCCAGTGCTTACCGCTTCTTTACTGGTGCCATCATCACCTACAAAGTGTCAACAGTTAACCTCATGCTAACCATTAACACTAAATACAAGGAAGCAGATCTAGCCTGTTGAGTCATCTTTCTGGCAGTGTGGAAAGAACTCACCCACTAGTGCAAAGTTGCTTTCAAGAAGCTCCCTGTGCGAGTTAAACCAGGCCTGAGCCAGGCGACTGTTTTTGTTCTTTCCAATGATGTAGTTCATGATATAGGCCAGCAGGCCCGTCACCATCAGGATCTCCATGTAGTAACTCTCCCAGCTGTTCTGGAGATGTGCAGGAACCTGCAGAGAAGCAAACAGCCAAGAGTATGGCAGCTCAGTCAGGAATGAAGATTAAATTTAAAGAAAAAAAAAAAGACAATAAAGATTAATTTATAATTTCTCACTCTAAGGCCTGTTTTTATTATCCTTGTTTTTAATGTAAACATTTAACAGCATCTTTAATAAAATTAGAAGATTTTAAATTAAAGGTTTATTACACTTCACTACAAAATGACTCCTAAAAGTACCTGGAAGCCTCACTGATCTTGAAGTGAGTCAAAGGTTTTTGCAGGTGGTCCTTCCTTAGGATCATTATTAGCCTGCAGCTGTTTGCTAATACATTGTGCCATTTGGTTGTTGCTTTTGTTTCCCCAGTGATGTTGTGCTGTTCTTCCCTAGGTGGATTAGTTCATTGCTGCCTGGGGCTCTTGTTGCCCCCATCTACACCCACAGGCATGCTGTGGGCCAGCGGGGGACTGACTGCAGCCCTGGAAAGACTGGTTTACAGTCAAAAAACACTTGCTAGTCTGAGCCTAATGATTACAGAATGACCTTGTGTCTTCCAACACATCCACTTGTTCAGCCGTACATGTTTTATTTAAATTAATCTATCCTTAAACTTTAAATTTAATTTTTTAGTTCAATAACTACATGAGGCTTGTTTATTAAAATAATGATTAAATGTGATTTTTGCCCTGAATTACTGAAGTTTGTGTTTGTTTTTTTAAGATGTTCTGAACTATTAAACAATGGCAATTTTTAAAAACAAAAACAATCTTCAGGTTGAAAACTTGGTTGATTTCTTTTTGACTGTAACATAATGGGGATATTACAGGTTGCTACTTTTGTTCTGGAATGACTGTACTGTTTCTAAATAACCCCAAACCTGGTTTGACATTTCTGAGATCGGTCATTCCTTTGCAGACATACACAGACACTACTGTGTATGAAACAGGTGAATAACAGCCAGGGTATCAGTCTGACTAACTTAGTAATCTAGCTCAAATCAGTGCAACTCTGAGACTATTTTACTCAATAGACTGATGAGGAGGGCAAGCTCTGTCCTGGCCAGTCCCCCAGACTCCATAGAGGTGGTGAGAGGAGGATTATGGTCGATGTACAGCTCCTCTCTCTCCCCCTGCATGAGAATGTGGAGGCCCTGAGCAGCTCCTTGAGCATTAAATGGTTACAGCCATTGTGTAGGACAGAGCACCATAGCTCCTTCCTCCTGACAGTAGTTAGATGGTACAATTCACACACATAATAGGGTGTGTTACGTGTGCTAAAACTCAGTCCAGATCAAAAGTTTAAAGACCAACTTGAAAAATGTAAAAAAAATAATAATAATTTAAAAACAATCCACATTCAAAAGGTAAAGTTTTTTGCCTTTGCCATCAGAACGTCATGACAGTGACTACCTGACAGAAAATTACAATGAATCCACATTTTTTGCACAGATTTGGCCTTTTAAAGGCATGTGGTCCTAAACTTTTGATCAGCTGTAAAACAGCCTGTTTCAGTTTAAGAGTTGTTTTCAATAAATTGCACTCTCGAAAAAAAAAAGTTTAGTCTCACTCCCATTTCTTCGTGTTGGATGCTGAAGCTCTACTTGGAACCTTGTTAAGATCCAACAATACAAAATATGTTTTTTTTCCACATTTTTCAAGTGGCCTTAAACTTTTGATCGGGACTGTATGAGTGTATACACCATCACTCCCACTGCACTTTATGTACACATAAAAATAAAATCTGAGTGTATTTTACTGGATAAAGCAACCTTTAATATACAGTACAAATTACTCTTGTGCAGTATTTTGGCTTTTTTTATTTTTTTAATTTGTACACAGTCGTTTCTTTCCATTTCTAAACGTATAATATTGATTTTTCTTTCTTCTTTGTGCTGCTGTATCATGTAAATTCCCTCAGTGTGGGATTATTAAAGTTGATGTCTGTGTCTTTAGGATTGACCGAGTTTTATGACTGGCATAAACCTTTTCTGAACTGCTGATCTTTCTGTATTATAAGACATCATGTTTAGTGTTTTTGTTTTTTAACATATGATAATGATCATTGATTAGTATTGATGGCAGAACAAGTTCCCCTGTGGAAGGTTTTGCTACACCACATCTAGGCAGAGTTCTCTTTCATCTATGCATTCATTTGGACACTTCACTTATATGACTAGCAATAGATATCCAAGTCATCATCCCCATTTTACTTGTTTGAAGTCTGCTTGAAGTCCACAGACTGGAGAGCATGTCAAGCTGTTGCACAATAATGTAAATTCTCCACATATAAATGGAGAATTTATGTGTGGTCAAATTAGTGATCTGCATGGATCCTTGCACTCACAGTCCTATTTCGCAGGAGTAAGTGGACTCACAAACATGCAAAGTATATTTAAGGATTAGGAATGCTCCACTCACTATGCCAGACTTGCTTTTTAGGAGATTTCAGCAGTAAGCCCGGCTTACCGTGTGGATTATCAGGGGGTCTTTCATGGAGTGTCCAGTCTTCTCCATGTCTCCAATCCCCTCAAACTCCTCCTGGTCATATTTGCTGTATATATCTTGATCCTAGTAAAATACGAAAACAAAATAAATCAAAACAAACATGATTTAGTATGAAAACTGTGTTCAAATACTGAGACGTAAAGAGTTAGAAGGTAATGAACCTGTGTGTCTGGGTCTTCAAAACCATCCTGTCCATCCTCCAGCTCCACTGTGGCTTCATCTTCATCCTCATCCGGCTGCAAGGATGGTGAAGCCCGAGGCGGAGGGGCGGTTTCTGCTTCAGCTGCTGAATCATCGGTCATGTCCTCAAACTCGGCAAAGTCATTGTCATCGAAGTCTGCTAGGTCCTCTCCATCGTCAAAATCATCATTGTAACGCCCCCTGGAGACGGGGATGGCCAAGAGGAGCAGCAGAGCAGGTATCAGGAGGAGATAGAGGCTTTGCATGGTGGGACCTGCATCAGAGAGAATGTTGATGCGACAAACAGGAAAATAAGGGTTAACATTAAAGCCACTTATGTCACCTTATTTGTAAATACTCAAAGAGTATTGTGTAACTTCATTTAACAGAAATCTGTGCATTTTTCTTTAATCATTGTCCATTTTATAAAACCAGTTCTGGTGAAAAGCCAAACTTTTATACGCAAAATCCTTTGTTAATGTAGAAAAGAATATCTGCAGGATGTGAAAGATATAATAGATGGGTGTGGGAAGCACAACCTCTGCATCAATGTGGGGAAGATAAGGAAGTTGGTCTTGGACTTCAGGAAGAGGAGCAATACTCCATCTCCCTTTTCATCAGAGGAGGAGCTGTAGAAACAGTCCACAACTTCAAATACATCTGAGAACACATTTCCAGGGAATTGACGTGGAACAGTAGCACCTGCAGCATCATTAGGGACGCCTACCAGTGACTTCATTTCCTCAAGAGGCTGAGGCAGGTTGGCCTCAACACCCCATCACCACCTGGTATGCTGCTGAGAAGAAGCCGCTGCAGAGCATAGTGGAAGCTGCCCAGATCATTTGTAGCTCCCTCCCCTTCATGGTCTGTATTATGAGGGATCCCACCCACCCACTGACCCAGCCTATAAACTGTTATGACACCCTGCCCTCCACTCAGGCAGAAGACTGTTTAGCATCAACACAAAACCCAAAAACTGTAAGCTCCATACATCACTAACTACACTTACAGTGCTATACTTTTAACATGCAGTGTCAGAGCTTTATTAGTGATACGCTTATAAGTTATAATGCTGGTTTACTCTTAAGGATAGCTTGATGTTATGCATGGAGCTGGTTCTCAGGACAGATTTGGTTTTTCATGTGGAAACATGCAAAAGAAAGAAATCTTCCCCCTGATATCTACTGCTATGTAAATATGCAGGTTTCCAAGCAAACAACAACAAAATAAAATAAGTCATTTGCACAGTTCTGCCCGCCGTGAATGATTTACACAAAAGAGATAACCTGATTTTGTTTTTGTTTTTTTAATTCTTTCTCTGTGAGAAATAAACTGAACTGTGGCTTTAGGGAAATTTTACAACCTCAAAGTGTACCATATCCTCAACCGGATACTAAAAATTTTAAAGTTTAACTCTCTCTTTCTCTTACTCCACCCAACAGAAGAACATAAGGCCACTTACTTGAGAACTTTAGAGTTAAGATATAAAGACAGACATACTGAAGCATAGAAAATAAAACCATAACACTAATTATAACCACCTAGGACCATCCCCATCCACACCCACTAAGAGACAAGGGTCATACTTCTTTTGGCTACTCCCTTTAGGGGTTGACATCTGCCCCCTTCACTACATCTATGAACCAGTCAAGTCCCTACTCTCACATCTACAGTCCTGCCTTTCCTTCTCTTGCAGTCTCCTAATATTCCTTCCCTCTCTCCTCTTCCTTTGTTTTCAGCCAACAGTAACGCAGTTTCCACTGGCACCCCAATCTGGTATGGAAATGTCATTCTTTATGACCAGCGTGTTTGAGAACTATATCGATGAGATCGGACATTAAATATTTATGTGGTTGTTGTACTGTACATTAAAAATTAATAACTGCATATAACAACATATTATAAAGAACAATATTTTTGGACAGGTGTGGTAAAGTAATTATTGACGAGTGTATAGTTCATCAAGTTAATGATGCCAAAGACAGAGCTCCAACAACAACAAAAATACAAGATAAGCAGAAAAAGATCCACTAACTTACTAGGATTCAGCAACACTTGACCACAGGAACTTACATATGCGTCTTACGTTTAGCAGATCTTTAACCCAAAGACTGAAGTATTAATCTAAAACCACCATCTTTCTTTGAGATTAAACTCTAAGGAAGTTTAATCTCGTCACACAGTGGGATATTAAGGTGACAAATTCCCAAAGAGGAAGCGCTCCCAGTATAGCGACAGAAACCAGAAAGGACTAATGAAAAAAAGTACCTTTAATTGTCGCATCTCCGCTTTATCATTAAAGAAAACTTATAAAACTACACCTTCAGACGTCTGTAGACACACATGCCAGCCGGGAGTAACTTAAGCAGCTTCAATCCTATGAGCTTTCTTTAGCTCAAGTAACTTTTAGCCACCGACCCAATCTCTGCTAAACACTCGCTAACAGCTAAAACAGAGATTTAAGTCTTTGACTTTTTAGTGACATTTGTGTTAAAACTATAAATGCGGCCTTATCTAGTAATGGCTATATAATTAAAGCATAAACAGTATTAATATCACCCAACCTATCCCCCCCGCCGCCCAGCTTTCACTCACTCATTAACCGCTAGCAAATCTGACATTAGCATGCTAACGGTAGCTAACTAGCATGACAGCACGTCTCTAACAACACCGCTTACGATTTGAGGAAAACAAAACTTCCTTTACGTTTAAAATAAGCCCACTTATCATAAACTAGTGAATAAACAGCTCACCTGAAGTCGACCTGTGACGGTAAAAGTAGTGCTCGTGTAGATTAAATAGCATGAACTGCCCTTGTGGTGACGGTACACCTGAAAATCAAGAAAAACCTTTCAAAATTAAAGTATCGCGACCGGATGTGGTGGATTTGTTTCTGTACATTTCCAAAATGAAACTTTTATTTTGATTGTTAAAACCGGAAGTGTTTGCATGTCTACATTAAGGTCTATCGACACTGCCGCTCCCTGGCGGACACAGCGCGCAACTACAGTTACACTTAAAACCTGAGTTGTCATACACCACATGTTAATCTTAACGATATTTCTCGTTTACCGTCAATCTTAACGGATTCAATAAAACGCTCTTATTTCTAAACGATAAAAAAGTAAATCAAATAAACAAATAGATATATAAGCATAAAATATATAATATAAAACATAAAAACATCAGATCCTCAGATAATATGGCAAGCGTAATTTATATTTGCATGCAGGCTTTTGTACCTAAAAAGACTAGTTTAAAAAAAATACTCCTTTAATTTACAGTCGTCGAAACACAGTCCCATTCGTTCAGTTATTTTGGTAAAAGTTTGTGTTAAAGTGACAACTTACAACATATCAATACTTATCAGTTAAGTATAATCAACATAACAATGAGGCTTTTGTTTTACTCGAGTTGTTCTTTGCATATGGTTACTTTGCAAATTTCTCCAAGGGAACCCAAATTGCCAGCAGCAGCCCTGAATGTGAGACTTTCAGAAAGCTAGAGCTACTTCTAAACCTGCAGGTTTTGTGCCTCAAATATATCCCTTTTCGTTGCTCCAGATGTGGGGAGGCAGATGAACGTTCGAGGTGGCATCGTCCCCTTCTTATGTGCTCAAATGTGCGTTTGCATTACATTCTTTTTTCTACTTGCCTTTGTTTATACATAAGTGTTAGTTGTTCTTGGATTGTTCCAGGAAGGGTTATCTTTTTGTCAATAAAATCCATGTTAATGATTGAAGCAATGTCTCTTGTCTTATAAGTAAAATAAACATCTACAAACTGCTCAGACACAACATAATCAAGAATTAACATAATCTTGATGTAATTATAATCAGGGGTTTTGTTTAATAAGGGTTCTTTGGGTGTTTTGTGACAGATAAAACCCACAATCTTACAGGGAGCACACTTAATTCAAACTGAAAGTTATGAAGTTATAATTATGAAGCCATTCTCTAGTTTTTTGACACATTTTAAAAGATAAATCAAATTATTTTGTGCTGTATAATGTAGATATATTCAAATATAATTGAATATACAACTTTTTACATCAAATAATGTTATTTAACCCAACTGTTAACTGTATATTTCTGCAAATTTAAGCATTATTATTCATATTGCCACATTCATTGACCTTGCTTATAGGTAATTTCATTGTTTAATCACATTAAAATGTTCCTAATTTAATGTCTAAAAGCACTCGGAAAAGGCAAAATCCCATGTAAAATTAGTGCAACAAACTCTATTTTCATCACTGAAAATAACTGTATTTTTATGAGAAAGTTATTTTCTGTTATTTTACGGTATTACTTTGGCGCCCCAGCCGGGGGGTGCTTAGAAATGACTGAAAGATTGGCTCTGTTTTGAGTTTTGTTCAAAAAAGAATGACTTCATATGGAGAAGAATATATATCACATATATAGGACACCTTAAACTAGTTTTTTAATAAAGCAGCAAGGCAGAACAAAGTCGGGGCTGTATCAAGACATGCGGACTAAGCCCTAATTCAACCAGACCCAGAACTGATCTGGAATTAAAACAGGACTACAACAGTTCAAAATCAGGACTATTGGAGGGGTGCTTTATGGAGCTTCAGGTCCTTGAAGGGAATAAATGCCCTTTTAGATGCCTATCTATCTCCGAAAACGTTAGAGCACTTATGCAAGCAACACATTGCGAGCAAGTGCAAAAACTGAGCGAGAGGGGCTGCTATTGTGTATGTGTATGGATAATAGCAAACACTGAAATACATTTTTGCACGCAGCAATGAATTCTGTTCACTCAAATTTAGCTTTTCTTCGCTCAAAATAAATTTCTCCTCAAAATGCAATACTTGCACCTGCAAAAATTTTCTATGTGCGCTCACTTTTCTTTACGTGCGCTCAGAATAGTGGCACAAAAATAACGCCATAGATGCCAGTGTGGCGTGGGTGTGGTCCTTGGCCAGCTGCAGAGGAGGCGTGACGCAGTGAGCTCCCGGGGCGGCGCAGGGGCGGGGTGAACAGGTGTGCTGGGATCTGACAGTGATTGTGTCTCTTTATGTGTTGGCAGTGACAGACGGAGAAGGAACGTGACAGCAGAGAAAGAGAGCGCGGAGTATATGTGTCCACTACAACCCGAGCTTAATAAAAAGTTCTGCACTGTCAAAAGTCGCTCCGGCTGGTATTTCTTGGGTTTCGGCACCAGTGTAACGGTGGACCCAAGAAATACCAGCCGGAGCGACTTTTGACAGTGCAGAACTTTTTATTAAGCTCGGGTTGTAGTGGACACATATACTCCGCGCTCTCTTTCTCTGCTGTCACGTTCCTTCTCCGTCTGTCACTGCCAACACATAAAGAGACACAATCACTGTCAGATCCCAGCACACCTGTTCACCCCGCCCCTGCGCCGCCCCGGGAGCTCACTGCGTCACGCCTCCTCTGCAGCTGGCCAAGGACCACACCCACGCCACAGCCAGCCCAGCATTTTCCTTCATCACCACGAAGGAAAACAGTCTGTGGTGGTCTCAGTTTGGTGATTTTTGTGTCACAGGTTTACGTGCTTAATACAGGGACCTCCACAGCCTTTTTAACAGCGCTGCGGACCTAGGGGGGCAGTATTGTGGAAATGACAGTCTTCACTAGTGGGGATAGTTACAACTAGGGCTGGGCCATATTATACCGTTCACGGTAATACCGGTATAATGTTAGGCAACGATAGGAAAATGAAATATCGCGATAGAATGGGAGTAAAACGCGCATGCGCAGTGCCTTTGTTTTCATACGCACATGGCCGATTGTTGAGTGAAACAGATGAACCAGAATTGGTTTGTAAAAATGGTGCAACTTCCGTGATGTGGAACTGGTTTGGTGTTTGTCCGTCAGATACACAACAAAGCACATTTTTTTGCAGAACATGCAAGCGGCTGTTGTTATTGTCATATTTGTCGGACTAATATACAGGTCAAACAACACTGCAGCATCACTTAGAGTTAAAAACTGTCTAAATTCTTTTATCTTTAATAAAACGATCAGCATTGCTGCTTTACCAGGTGTAACTATAAAGTTTAACTTCCAGGCATCCATGAAAACAAAAGTTATTACATTTAACGGAGTTAGAAGTTAGCAGGAAGCTAGCGGAAGTTAGCTCGCTAGTTTCGCTAGTTACCTAAGCATGATATTGCATGTTCTGACTGAGAGATTTCTGAAAAAATCAAACGTACAGCTCTGCTATCACTTCCAACATAAATGAAGACAGAAAACTAAACAGCAGTGACGTTTGTAGGGTTACTGAAGTTGGGCTAGCTGGTATATAATGATGTGCTACGTGATCGCTAGCGACACAGCTATGTTAGCATAACATAAACAGTGAAGCTGGAGGACGAACACTAACACTTTTCCACTTATAAAAGTTAACGTGAAGGTTCCTGATAGATAGAGACAAATGCAATCGCATGGCAGGATGCTGTAAACGGACCAAACTTCAGTCAGGAGAACAACTGAGATAATCCATCCACAATACGAGGTTAGTCATTAATATACTGCAACAACATGGGAATAGAGCAGCTGCAGAGAATTCAACATTAATGAATCAAGGGTACAGAAGTGGAGGAAGCAAGAAGAATGAATTTAATAAAGTTTGATTTATCTGACTGCTTTGTTTCGCTTAATGTGCCTTATAATCCCGTGCACCTTATGGTCCGAAAAATGCGTACTGCACACTGCAGTTTAATGTTGCAAAGCACCTCTTTTTAACCATATAACCATATTATACGTGGTTATGCTCAGGATATGTCAGCCCATTTCTACTGGAAATGCCTTTTGGTTAAACTTTCAGCAAGGAATTTGCATTTGCACTGTTACATTTTTATAAAGCTTTAATGTACATAAAAACCAGCTTCTTGTTTAAGTGAAAATAAATGGAAGGTTGTCTTTTTGCGCTAGTAATGTTGTGGAGTTGTATTTTGTCTCGCATCAATTATATCGTCGGTTATATCGTTATCGCAAATTTTCAAATATATATCGTGATAAATATTTTTGGCCATATCACCCTGCTCTAGTTACAACGCTTTCTCCATTATGAATTAACATGTTTTTATTGAATATTTGAAGAACCAGCAAAAAACCCCAGAAACTCTTGTAGAGGACAAAGTTAGAGATAGAAACGACAAGGAGCTGGTGCATCTAGTACAGGTAGAGCTGCTGCAAAAACCCACAGAGCTCAGCAGCCAGCGCAACAAATTCTGGATCCTTGGCTTTTAGTTAGCAGTTAGCATTAGCAGCACATCCTGCGTCCTATGTGAAAGGACCTTTATGCTGCGCACTGTGGCTCACAGCAATGGTCCCGGGTCAGCCCTGACTTTGTGTTAAACTAATCCTAAAGTAATAATGGTATTTCTAAACATTGATATACCACGACTTTATCTTTTCAACAGCTACTGAAAGTTAGGGGACCTAGCTTCTGTCGGATATTTACATAGAGATCCTCCAGCTTCATTCAAACTGTATTACCCTTCAAGGACCTGCAGTTCTGCAATTGGATAGTTAAATTTGTGACTGACATGACATTGGCCAATCAGCATCCTGCTATGCGATTACCTTTGTTCCTGACCACCGAGAACACTCACGTTAACTTATATCGAGTGGGAAAAAAGTTAGCTTGTTTATATTATGCTAACATAGCTGTGTCGCTAGCGGTCACGTAGCACATCATTATATACCAGCTAGCCCAACTTCAGTAGCCCTACAAACGTCACTGCTGTTTAGTTTTCTGTCTTCATTTATGTTGGAAGTGATAACAGAGCTGTACGTTTTAATTTGTTTCCAAAACCCCGCAGTCAGGACATGCTATATTGTATTTAGATAGAAGCTAGCGAGCTAACTCCCTGCTAACTTCCAAC